CGGGGGGCGGCCGCGGCGGGCCCGCGGCGGCGCCTCGCGGCCTCCCCTCACGGCCTCGCCGCCCGCAGGTGCAGGACAACGTGGAGCGCCTCTTCACGCGCTTCGTGGAGGAGGGCAAGGCCACGGTGCGGCTGCGGGAGCCCGCCGTGGACGTGTGTGTGAGCAAGGTGCGTGCCGCGGGGCGCGGGGACGGCCGGCCGCTTCGCCGCGGCACCCCGCGCTTCCCGTTCTCATTTCCGAACCGCTCCTCTGCTTGAGGAAAAACGTCTTCTCCCCGCTCCGCCGCGGTCCGTATGTTTATTCGCGAGCCCCGTGTGAGAGGCGGCTGCTGAGGCCCTGCGCAGCGCTCCGGTAACCTGCGCGCCGCCGGAGCCCAGGCCGCACACCGGACCGGGCCGGGCCGCGGCACCGGCACCGCCTGGATCGGAGCCCAGCGAGCGGCCGGGCCCGCCCGCCCCGCACAGCAGAGCCGTGAGAGCCGCCCGTGTGCCGCACGGCTCCTGTTCGTGCTGCGTTCTCCAGAAAAAGCCGCACGGTGCTGTCCGGTTTTCACATTATTGCCCGCTCTRCTTGTTTCAAGAATCCTGGGCCCTGGTATAAGAGGACGGTTTTCCTAAATCGTTTTCTTTGCCTTTTAGGGTTAGGCTGTGTAAATCACACTGATAGTTTTGTTCAGGAAATGGTTTTGACTTTCTGTTGTGACTGTGATGTTTTGGGCTGGAAGATATTTTGTAATAATTTCAGTGAGGTCACACCGAGCAGCTGGAATCCTCAAAAACGGGRCCTGACAAAAGAAGGAGAAGGGCTTCGTTTCTTGGGAATAAGAACAGATATAATGAGCCAGATATAAAGAGTCAGATATAACGTGGTAGTCTGAGATTGGGCAGAATCCGTCAGCGTCCCATGGTCTTGTTTGTATGAGAAGGAAGGCTATGGTGGAAAGCAGCTTTAAACTGATGATTATGTGAGGGGTTCACATAGATATCAAGGAAGCAGCTTGTTTCTAAATTCATTTTGTTTTGGCAGAAGCAAATGCGCTCTGTCTCACAGAAAAGAAATTCACAGGTGTGGTGTTAGATACAGAACACATTCATGTTTTAGGTTCTATTTTTTTGAGTGTTTCTGCTGAAGAGGGGGCAGATCAACAAGCTGGTCTCTGAACAAGCTGCTGTAACCGAGCTGCAGCRGCCGTGAGGCTAGCGCTGCTCCCACACGCACTGGCACTGAGCTAGGGAAACGGGAATCGGGATTTCACAAGCTTTTATAAAGCTGTTCAGCCTTGTTCCAAGGAAGCCAGGCTGTCCCCTCCCATTTTTAACCACCCCATGCTGTGAWGCTTCGTAAAGAAGTTACTAAATTTCTCAGAAGTTCTCTTCTGAGAGACTCTCTGAGAGTTTCTCCAAGGCAAGAGAACTCTTATTAACACTTGTTAGCTTTCTTTCACAACATCCTTTTTGTTGTTGAGGCTCCACACTCATGGCTCAGAGCTCTCTCCTTAGCACTTCCAGCTAATTCTTGGCATTTTTCTATGTATGTTTTGTTTTCTCAACATGTATTTGTAAACTCATAAGAATATTTCTTTTATGTAGATACTGCAGAAAAAAAAATCCTAAGGCTCCTTTATGTAGTTTTTGCAGAAAAAAAATTGTCTTAAGGCTCCAGAGCACAAGGTAGTCTTATCTTAAAGACATATAAATAGTATGAAATTATCTTAACATCCTAGAGCTTTTGTCTTGGAAATCAGATTTCTATTATGTCTTGCAATCTGATGGCAAAGAAATTGTAACTTCATTTCTAGCATCTTATTATCCGTTCTCCTTGGCCTTTACAGATCTGAGTGACTTTTGTCCCTTGCTTCCAAATTTATTTAGCTGCTTTTGCCCTTGGAAAGGTGCTGGATCTGCCTGTGGCTGGGAGGAGTCCCATGGCATGGCTGACATAATGCATATTGATAGGAAGAAGGTGCAATTTCCTGTCTCTGGAAGAGATTACGTCAGGAATTAAGGGAGCAGATGTGCGTGGGATGGGTAGGATGGGTCATTAGGTTAGCTGTGCACTCAGATATAGTCACTGTCTTTATTTCTAGAAACCTCCAGGATCCTTGTCCATTGTGTGAGGCATTTCCACTATTTATGTGAGCTAGTTTTGCACCCTGTGGAATTTGTTATAGACAAATGCAGTTAGGAGAAGGGTTGTCTTTCAGGTGCAGAACCACTGGAAAGGGAGTGGAAAAACCCTTGATTCTCAGCACTGTGCCAAAACCCCAAGAGTGTCTGTTCTTTTCTGTGCCAAGGGAAGTACTTCAGTTGTGTGGATGCAGTCTGCTTTTTATTTCAGAATCTTCTTACAGCTTCGTGTCTGTCAGTTTCCAGTTGGAATTACTGGAATTCCAACTGTTCACTTGCTGTGAAATTTAGAAGAGTGGTCACACTGATATTCGTAAACTTAATTATTTTGGTACAACAAATGTAACACAGCTTTGCTGTATCCTTGCTTGGAATGGAAGTCAGCTGCTCTTCTATTAATTTGACTCTGTCCTTTCTGCTGTTCTGATGTGTCCCACGTAAAGCAAAGTTGGTCAGAGATTAAATGAAAATGATTATCCTCCTCTCTGGGGCTGACGTGACCRGCCCGTGCTTCATGTGACCGGAAGCATTTGCTTAATCTGCCTTGAATCCCTCCACCAATTTTACATAGAAATTCAAACTTGGAATCCGTGCTTTTCCCTCCTCAGAGCTTTCAGAAGTGACTGCCTCAAACTCGGGACCCCGGCCTCTGTGTGACTCTCTGTGAGCTGTGGCTTTATCACGTCGAGGTTTGGCAAGATTGCAGCGCATCACACTTCTTTTTCTGCACTTTATATTTTCAGCTATAAACTCTAGGTGTTGCTCCTTCCCTGAGTAATGCAGCACAGGTCTTTTGATATAGATTATCCGAAGACTTCATAACTTTTCACTCAAATCGCCTATCATTTGTTCTCAAATACTGTAAACAGCATGCCAAGCAGCTAAAACTGATTTGTGTTTCTCTTTCCCGTTTCATTGGCCTTCTGACTCGGTATTTCATGATGCGTATATCTAAAAATCTGAGATGAGAATAATGAGCTTCTAATTCCACATTTGTGGGCTTTCTTTTTTTTTTCCTTTCTTTTTTCTATTTTCTTTTTGTAGGCAGATGTCAGCAATTTAAAGAATTTCCTTTCAGCTGTGAGACTGGCTCACCAAGGTGCTGACATTGGCACTCTCCCCCTCTCACCTCTGGTACCAGCGAAGACCTCGGAAGTTGAGAAACCCAAAACGAAGATGATCATAACATCGAGGAGGGACTATCCTCTCACCAAGAGCTTTCCCTACTCCCTAGAACACCTCCAAGCCTCGTACTGCAAACTGGCTCGCATTGACACGCGTGTGCTTTGTTTGAAGAAACTCAGAAAACTAGACCTAAGCCATAATCATATTAAGCAGCTGCCGGCTACCATCGGTGACCTGGTCTGTCTTCAGGAGCTCAATTTGCACAACAACCACCTGGAGTCCTTCAGTGTGGCCCTGTGCAACTCCACCCTTCAGAAATCTCTTCAGTTCTTGGACCTCAGCCAAAACAAAATCAAAGCGCTTCCGATTCAGTTTTGCCAGCTACGAGAACTTGTTAATTTGAAGCTCGATGACAACGAGTTGATTAGGTTGCCATTCAAGGTGGGCCAGCTAAGTCATCTACGCTTCCTGTCGGCAGCACGGAACAAGCTTCCTTTTTTGCCCAGTGATTTTAGGAAACTCTCTCTTGAGAACTTGGATCTTTTTGGAAATCCTTTTGAACAGTCTAATCCRCTTGTTCCCAACATACAACTGAAAATACCATTGACTTTATTAGAATGTGCTGCAAGGGCAACTGTGAATTACAGGTAAGCGGAGTGGAACTTGCCGTTGCTCATTTCAAACCTGTCAAATCAAAACTCTCCTGATTAGTTTTTTTTTCCAGCTTATAGCAATTGTTCTTCACATATTCTAAACCATAGGGAATTTCACTTGTAGTTTCCTCCTTGTTGTGTGAGAGATTTTTGTAGTGACTTTCGGAGCACTTAGACACAGCCGTCAATTGAAATACTTCACAAGACGGGAAGCACCACAGCATGTTTCTGCCCAACCACGGGCAAAGCGAACCCATTTCTGTGACCCCTTCAGGGTCACAGGGTCTGGAGGTGCTTCACACTTCCAGATTTGCGTTTCCTTCCGTGTTGAGGTGTTCTGCCTTATGCAGAGAAGCCCAGTTCTGAAGTAATTTTAAAATCCTTAGCATCTCGTGCTTCCCCATATAAGCTATAGCCTTGCCAGGCTGCTGGTTATTTTTTCCCCAAAATCACTTGCATAGCTCTGCCTAAATGCCACTGCCTGTACTTTCTTAGCACCATCTGGTGCTACTCCCACCCCTTTTCCCTGGGTGAAAAGGGTGCAAAGATGGAACAGAGTCGAGGAGATACAAAAGTGGGGTGAGAGACAGACTCGAGGTGCTTATAATCTGTGTTCTCTGCCCTTTCCTGTCTTGCGGATGGGGCAGTCCCGGGATCTGGGCTGGTTGCTGGAAGCCCCTGTTAAAGGTGTCCTTGTTAAAGGTGTCCCACCCTGCCATGAGCTGAGCTGGCCCCTTGTTATCTCCTCCTCGTCTGAGCCAGCTGAGTTTAAAACAGTGATGATCACAATTGACTCCTTTCCAGTCTGCAGTATAACCCACAGTGGCTTTGACACAGATGTGATCAGAGAGCCTGCTTTCCTAGGGGCAGAAGGCCCTGCACTGGTGAGGTTTTGGTGCTCAGTTCCACTAGCAGAGTACGTGAGGATTCCTGGGCATTAACCGGGCCCTGGCCCCCATACAGCAAGTGCTGTAAGAAGCCAGCGCCAGGTAGGGTGGAACAGGCCCCGTGCTCCAGGAGGCCCCAAAAGATGAAGGAAACGGTGCCCCTGCTCCCTGCTCCGGGATTAAAGGGAGCAGCACAGGCCAGAGGAGCCCTGGCACTTCCTCAGCCCCTCTGTTGTGGGGCTTTGCAAAGGTGTCACAGCACAGGAGCAACTGGGGGCTGAGGAGGGCGGTGACAATAACCATAAAAGCCTTGAGAAGGGAAGAAAACAGAAGGCAGGATGACAGTCAAAAGAAAGGTCTGCAAAGGAATGTTCCTGGTGGCATCCTGGGCAGGTCCAGGAGCTGTGATGATGGTTGTCCTGACCAGACAAGGAGGATGTCCTGGCGCTGAGGTGGCCTGGGGGAATGCACAGGTGTCTCAGCTATGTGAATGACAGTGTGGGAAAGAACAAGCAACACGTAGGGCTACCCCTACGTATAGCCTCCATACGTACAGCCTGGATGTGAGTCAGTGAGACCTGCTCCGGGAGCCCTGGCTGGCAGCTCTGCACCGATGGCATCTGTGTGTTAGAGGAAAGTTAATGATACAGAATAGATTAGAGAACTTGGTTATTTTGTGTCCTCAACACAGTGCCACTCATTGGTGAATTTAAAAAGTTTTCTCCTGTCACACCATGAGAAAACAGAAGGGTTAACATAGAACATGAGTTCCTTGTCTGCAGTTAATACTGCCATGGAAAGACTCATTTCACGTGCAGCTCGCTGTCAGGAGGCAGCGTGTTCAGGATGCCGCACAGGATACAGCAGATAGTGGGTCCCTCAGCAGCACAGGGTGAGGGAAGAGCCTCCTGGCTAAGGGCAGGAAACAGCAAATGTGGGCCATGGTTGTCCATCTTTCTCAGTCCTCTTTTTAATTCTGTCCATCCCTAATTCTCCCTCCCTGCCCTGGCAAGCTGTTGGAATTTGCATGGATGCCCTGGTTCTTGTCACAGTGTTTTCTGGAGTCAGGTTCTTGGTACTCGGTGGTCAGTAATATGGTTGTGTGGGTTTTGTGGCTGTCTTGAAAGGGGGCTTTGTAGTTTCTAACGAGCCCCATACTGCTAGTGCCAACACTTCAGATTTGCCTTTTTGTATGTTCTTGACACAGCTTTTTTCCCCCGGCTGGTGCATCTGGCACAGCACTGAGTTTCAGTGACACCTGCAATGAATTCACACTTGCTTCTCTTGTTCAACAGGATCCCTTACGGCTGCCATCTCCTCCCTTCCCACCTCTGTGAAGACCTGCAGGTGGCCAAAACGTGCCAGTGTGGAAGTGCCTGCCTCAGCAGCTTCATCCAGATCACCGTGACCATGAACCTGCACCACGTGGCGCACACCGTGGTCCTCGTGGACAACATGGGCGGCACGGAAGCGCCCGTCATCTGCTACTTCTGCTCCCTCGACTGCTACTCCCAGTTCCTGGACAGGTACCTGCAGAGCAACGGGTGACTCCTGGCGAGGGCTGAAGCTCCGCTGGAGGGTCGTGCCGTGACGGAGGAGCCCGAGGTGGTTTTGTGCTGCGTTCCGTGTGCGTGCTGCTGGGAAGCAGGGCGGTCACGGAGTGTTGGCCGCCGACGGCAGATCTCTGTGGTTCACGGGGAGGCGCGATGGGCCTYGTGGGGTCTGGCTGCTTCTCTACTGCTAAAATCTCCTTGATTGGAATACGAAGTGGTTCTTAGCTTGAATGATTCTTCCTTAGATTGTGTTTTGCTTTCTTTTCCCTGTAATTGTGACTTTGGACAAAGGATTGTGACAGTTTTGTTTTGTTTTATGGAGTGAGCGGTTCTCCTTGCAGCAGGGAGCTGGGTGAACTTCCTCCCAGCGTGTGTCACATTCCCCTGCCCACTGCTCCCCGAGGCCGTGGACTCTGCCCGCGCACAGGGCCTCGCTGACCTCCTCACCGGACTGGGACCTTCCCAGGTTATTTACTGTAGAGCAGCTTGGAGGTGCTATGAAGAGTTACAGTGTCAGCAGTTCAGAACTGGTCATGTTATTCCAGGTATTCCCTTTTTTTTTTTCCCCTAGGTTCTGAGCATAGCCTTCTCCCTTCAAGCAGGGACCAGCATTGTTTTTATTTTATCTGTTATACGAGGAACATCTTTTCTAGTTATGTGATCCAAACTTTGTTTCTGCACTCACATTTTAAAGATCCTTGAATTGTTCACGTATTAAAATTTGAAACCCTTCTACCTGTACGTGAATTGTGTTTTCTGTAGCGCGTTTTTTACTCGGAGTATCCAGAAGTTGGCTCCTGGTGAAGACATATCTGCCCCCTCGTTTCCCAGTCCTGCTGTCTGGTCCCATATAGAGCAGCATGGACCAGCAGTGTGGAACAGAATCCTTAGGCGCCCCAACACGTGTGGTGACGTGGATGAAAGGTGGTTTCTGAAGCAGCGCTGCTGCGCAGGGGTGAGCTACACATCCTGCACCTCTTCAGGAGCTGGAAACCTCTGCTGGTGTCGCAGGTATCGGTAGTTTCACTGGGAAAACAAGACACTTGTGGTAGTGAGTCCAGAGCTGCTCTGGATGGTGCTTCGGGTTACACCTAAACACAATGTATGGAATGTGGAGCAGCCTGGAAGCGGGCAGGGTGCTGGAGGCACAGACTGTATACATGTGCAGCTATCGCCCAACATYTCCTTGAACATCACCTTCACTTGCAACCAGCAGCCTGAACTTTGCTATCCAACACGGTCACGGCCTCCTGAAGGGCTTTACTTTGAAAGAAAATCCCCTTCCTGAGACGCTTTTCCTGAGGAAGAACGACCTTCCACGTTATTCTAGAAGTACGGAGTCCAATTGAACTGCCTCTGAATGTCAAAAGAACTTGATCCCATTCTCTTCATGCGTTATTTATAAAGCACCGAACAAACTGATCAAAGGTTAGTCACTGCTGGCRTGTTTTGCCTTCCCTCAGATACTGCATGAAGCAGAAAGCCAGCTCCTTCTCATCTGGATGTGGTGTGGAGCGAAACCAGGATGCTTTTAAATATCCCTCTGGTGCTGCCAGTGCGCAGGGAGAGCATTCCTGCCCCGACTGCGCCGGGGCCGGGAACCCTCGCGGGCGGCAGCGCATGAGCAGGGCGAGGGAAGCGGCGCAGGCAGCGGCTCGGGGGGCGCTCGGCAGCACCGTGGGGCCGGGCGCCTCCGCAGGACRCGTTTGGCCAAGGGAGGCGGAGGCCGCGCGGCCGCCCGGAGCTGCCGAGGAGCCACCCGGAGCTGCCCCTGTGCAGGGAGGAGCAGTGAGCTTGGAGAGGCACGAGGAGGATGGGCACGGATCCTGTAAGGACACAGATCCCGTAAGGACAAACGGGCTGTGAGGGGTGCCCGAGGGGCTGTGCCTGGCGCTATCTTGCCCTTGCCTCTGCCCGTGCCCATGCTGGTTGTTCTGCTGTGGGCACGGGGATGCAGTTGCCTCCAGAGCAGGTTCCTTCGCCGGAGCTGCCTGGGCATCCCGCAGTTCCCGGGAGCGCCGGAATCTCCCCTGCGGTGGTTCCCCCTGCGTGGGTCCCGAACAGCCTCCCGGCCGTGCCCGGAGCGCGGCCACGTCACCCCGCGGCGCCCGCGCTGCCCAGGGCCCTTCCCGCCCGCCCGGCTGGGCCCTGCGAGGGCCGCTGCCCTTCTGGGGCCGCCCGGGACAGCGGGGGCGAAGGGAGCTCGCGCTGGAGCAGCACGAACCCCGGGGCTGCGGCACCGCCCGGGGCTGCGGGACTGCCCGGGACCGCCCGGGATCCCCGGGGCTGCGGGACTGCCCGGGACCGCCCGGGAAACGTCCCGGAAGCGCGCCTCCCGCAGGCCGCTCCCGGGCTCCCGGGTGCAGTTCCCGCCCCGGCGGCGCCGCGGGCCGGTTCCGCCCGCACCGTTGCGCGGGAAACGGAGGCAATGGTGAACGGGAGACAGAACCAGCGCGGCCGGGGCTGCTGCCGCGGGGAAGCGAAACGCGCCCGTCCCTGCCGCCCGCGCCGCCTGCTGCTGCCGACCCCTCCGGAACAGGCGGCCGGGAGCGGCGCGGGGCAGGAAGCGGGAGCGGGAGGAAAAGTCAGGGGAGGGAACCGGGGAACGGGCGGAAC